GGCACAGATCGAACATGCCGCTACATAAGAGGCGATGTCGGCACGGAGAGTTGGCCACCAGAACAACCGAGAGACGACCCAAGACAACTGGTTCCTCCCCGGATGCTCGGCAGTTTTGGAGTTATGGTAAGTACGCAGCAGACGGGTACGCAACCCCTCGGGTACAAAACATCTACCCTCTGGTCTCTCGGGAGGAGCGTCAGTTTGAGCCGCCCCGCAGCCCCACCGCCGCCAATGGCGTGTAGCTGGTGAGAATGACAATAGCGTAGTCAGGCAAGCCGAGTCGACAACAACAGGACAAAACAGTACAGAACAGTAGACAGAGAATCACAGGTCACGGGCCGGGTTCAGCAACGGAAGGTCAGATCGAAGGAAAACACAGAGAATGGTCTTAGTCACAAGCCGAGTCAGAATACCAGAAGAGTCACGAGCATATACACAAAGCTGTAGCAAGACAAAGATACAAGACACAAGTGCAAAGAGCATGTGCGGATCACAGGCTTATATGTACTCAGCCACACCCCTCTGGGGGATGGACCTCAGAGACCTGAAGGCATAAAAGCTTCCCACCATGCTCAGCAGAAATCCAAGATGGATGCCAGCACATGGAGTAACATAACCTCTGGGAAAAGGTAGGACCTTGACAATAGGGTAAATTACTTTGGAGAGGCCCATAGACTTTTGCCAGACTCCCAAAATTTCACAAATTTATCTAAAGACCCTTTGGGGGAATTTACTACAGAATAAAAATCCTTAGTTGGAAATGGTACAATCAATAAAAAAGTGACAGCCTTTTTGGGGGAAGATTTTTTTTTCTTTCTACTTCTATCACCTCTCCAGAATTCATAAAGATGCCTGTTATCCTGCAGGCCACCCAATCAATACTGTGATGAAAAGAGTAATTATCGCTTTATGCAGACCATTTTCTGCAGCCATTAGTCGTTGCTTTACCTTAGTGCCCATCTGTTTCAGAATCTTTTTCCCTACTCCTACAAGCCTACTTTCCCTGGATGTATGCTCCTTATATACGTCTATACCACATGAGATAGGACTTCAAGATGTGAATTACTTCCTCTTTACCAGCCAAGAGACATTATCATTATAAACAATCTCAATTCATCCTTACAGCCACACATTACTGTCCTGACCACAATTACTTCCAGTTTGATGGAAATTTTTACCTGCAGAAAACTGGCGCGGCTATGGGAGCTCATTTTGCTCGCACTTATGACAAGTTGGCTATGGGCCTATGGGAACAGCACTATATCTGGACAAAAAAAAAAAACCCTTTGCCAACAATATTGTCTATTACTGATGATATATAGATGACATAATCATTATTTGGAATGGTCCTTGCTCCACTGTTGCTGAGTTTGTATAATTTTGCAACAGGCATACATTGAATCTCTCATTCACATACAGTATGTATGCACAACTGACTCTGTGGTGTTTCTTGATCCAGAACTGGGGTCCAGTGGGCAGGTTAACATTGCAAAAAACACTTAAAACCTACTGTTGAAAATTCCTATTTACATTTTTCCAGCTGCCAACACCCCAGGCAAATCATAAATATACCTAAGAGTCAGTTCTGCAGATTACACCACAATTGTACATGGACAGTAGATTATATATGCCAAAGCAACACGCTGCAAACTTTTCGACAAAGGATATCCACAAGATATAGTTGAGAGAGTATACTCCCACTACCTTACCTCATCCAGGAAGGAAAAAACTGATAAAAAGGTAGACCAACACATCAGGTTCATCGCACAACACCACCAACAATATAAGTAGAAAAAGTATTCTTGAAATATTGGGATATCATCCTTTTTAAAGTGTTACTAAACCCACAACAGTAAAATCAGTCTCTATATGCAGTCAAGCATACTTGTTATACTCACTGTGGAACCTAAGGGGTTAATCCTCTGCATTTTGTAAAAAACGCTGTTTGATCCTGACTCCTCTGATCCTCCCATTTTTCCAGTGTCTTCCTCTTATCTCCTGATAAGTCATATCACATGGAGACACTGCACATGCTCAATTTGGTGTATATTGTTACAGAGGTTTTTTTTTTCTTGGGAGAGTGCATGTGATCAGCACAGGGCCAATCAGCACTGCCCAGACAGAGGTCAGAGGTTCTGCATCCTCCTAGAGAAAACTCTTCCCACAAGCTTTAACCAGTGCTCTGCTTAATACTGGTAGAAGTCACAAGACCTCTCTAACTGCAGATGAGCAAATGTATTTAGCAGTTTATATTTACTAAAAATAATTTCATTTCCATATTTTGTGTACTGTGGGAGACCAGATATAATGAATGCAGGGTCCTGGGTTTAGTAACACTTTAAATCCTCAATCCATAGACCTAGGCTTGCTTATCAGAAAGACCCTAACATTAAGGGGAGGGTGGCACATATTCAAGTGTCCTGTCATCCTGGACAAGAGAATAAACAGTCACCATCAGGGGTGGACTGACAACTCATGGGGCCCCCGGGCAATAGGGGATTATGGGGCCCCCGAATCCTTGCCCACACCCAAAAAAGCCAATGAAAGGTACCAGGGGCATCTCCTGGGGCCCCCTACTGACCCTGGGCCCTCGGGCAGTGCCTGAGTGGCTAAATGGTCAGTCCGCCCCTGGTCACCATGTTTAGTAGTTTATCTTAAAGATATCTGACAGTGCAGGAAACCCAAGTGTTTGACCTGCAAGAGGACATTTTCAGCATGGAAAGACCTATACCATCATGTCTTTATACAACTGTTAGTCTCAATTTGTGATTTATTTCCAAACTTATACATGCAGGCTATTAAACATAGAAATAACTATCTGTACTGTAAGAACCCATTTTGGTGATCATCAGAGATCAATTGAGGAGTTGAGTTCCACGGAAAATCCTCCCAGGGACTCAGGGATTGGGTGATTGAAGCTATTTCTGACAAACTTCCGTCTGCAGAATCTTTCAAAAGATTTTGCACACAAGAAATGTATTGGATTTTCTCTTTAACAATTGGGGGACTTGAAGTGGATACTGTCATTTAATCACATATCTTCTGCTAGGTTCTGTTACAGTATTTTTTTCTGGTCATTATCTACGGTAATTTTTTCTCTGGCCATTAGCTCTACATGATTCATAAACTCTCTTGTTTATTATATATGCTGTTATATGTACTGCCGATATTTCCCATTTTAAATAAAATAAATACATTAATGACATCATCAAGGCATTATAACTTTATTCTTACACGTAAACATCAATTAATTTTAGTTACATGCATTTTCCATTGAACACTTTTTATTGGAAAGTTTCCTATCCCACCTTTGTTATGTAGGTGGTTTGACTTTTTATATGCACTATATTGCCAAAAGTATTGGGACGCCTGCCTTTACACACACATAAACGTTAATGGCATCCCAGTCTTAGTCCGTAGGGTTAAATATTGAGTTGGCCCACAATTTACAGCTATAACAGCTTCAACTCTTCTGGAAAGGCTGTCAACAAGGTTTAGGAGTGTGTCTATGGGAATGTTTGACCATTCTTCCAGAAGTGCATTTGTGAAGTCAGGCACTGATGTTGGACAAGAAGGCCTGGCTCTCAGTCTCCTCTCTAATTAATCCCAAAGGTGTTCTATTGGGTTGAGGTAAGGACTAGTCATGGGCCGAACACCGCCCTGTTCAGTTCGCAGTCAAACATTCGAAGGTTTGACCATGAACTTCGAACAGGGACAATTCACTAAGTGGTATCTACCTGCATCTGAGTATATGGTAAGATACCTCACAGCTACTAAAGTACTACGTGAGTTATATTATTCATGCAAGTCATGCAGTATTTTAGGAGTGACAACATTCCTTACTGTTTCAGCTGTCAGCAAGATTCCCCGCTGACAGCTGATTGTAAAAAGAATTGCTGTTATTGCCCAGCAATTAAAATTTTTTTAAAAAACCTCGCTCCAACTCCCATCCATACCAAGCCCTTCGGATTTGGGATGGATTTTGAGTTGATGGGAACTTAATTAAAACAAAATGGTGTGGGGGTCCCCCCCACATCCATACCAGACCCTTATCTGAGCATTCAGCCCAGTAGGTCAGGAAAGGAGGGGCGACAAGCAAAGGCCCCCCCCAAACCTTAGCAGGCTACATGCCCTCAACATGGGGGGGTGCTTTGTTGATGGCAACAATGTAGCTGGTGGTTGTGGGGGTCTGGGGGCAGGGGTCTTATTGAAATCTGGAAGTCACTTTTAACAAGGAGGCCCCCAGATCCCAGCCCCCTTCCCTGTGAATGAGTATGGGGTACATGGTACCGCTGCTCATTCATAAAAAATAGTGTAGTATACAAAATGACAGTAGACAGTCTTTGGCAAGTCCTTTATTAAAAACAAAAATTTAAAAATGTCCGACAAAGTAGATCCACATCAATCACAATGCCTGTCTCCACCACCGACCAAAAAAAAAAAAAGAAAAAAAAAAACGGTCCGCTCTCGACGCTGGCTCCCGCTGTCTGACAGCTGTGCTGGGATAGCAGTTCTTAAATACTGTGATGACGTCACAAAGTGATCCCCAGCCCCTTATGACATCTTCATCCGCTGTGATTGGCCAAATCATTGCACCTGACCTATGGTCAGGTGCATTGCTTTGGCCAATCATAATGCACTGTTCAGGGTGCAGTGCATTGTAGGTAGTGGAAGGTGAACACACGAACCGGCAATGTTTGAGTCGAACTTATGTTCAACTCGAATATCAAGCCCAACACTAGTCAGGCCAGTCAAGTTCCTCCACCCCAAACTCGCTCGTCCATGTCTTTATGGATCTTGCTTTGTGCACTGGTGCGCAGTCATGTTGGAACAGGAAGGTGCCATTCCCAAACTGTTCCCACAAAGTTGGGAGCATGAAATTGTTCAAAATATCTTGGTATACTGACGCCTTAAAAGTTCCCTTTACTGGGGCTAAGATGCCAAGCCCGACCCCTGAAAAAAACAACCCCACACCATAATCCCCCCTACACCAAACTTTACACTTGGAACAATGCAGGCAGGCAAGTACAACCAAACCCAGACACATCCATCTGATTGCCAGAGAAGCGTGATTCGTCACACTAGAGAACACATCTCCACTGCTCTAGAGTCCAGTGCTTTACACCACTGCATCTGAAGCTTTGCATTACACTTGATGATGTAAGGCTTGGATGCATCTGCTCAGCCATGAAAACCCATTCCATGAAGCTCTCTACGCACTGTTGTTGTGCTAATCTGAAGGCCACATGAAGTTTGGAGGTCTTTAGTTATTGATTGACTCTGCGGACAGTTGGCGACTTCTGTGCACTGTGCACTTCAGCATGCGCTGACCCTGCTCTATCATTTTACGTGGCCTACCACTGAGTTGCTGCTGTTCCCAGTTGCTTCCACTTTGTTATAATACTGTTAACAGTTGACTGTGGAATACTTAGTAGCAAGGACATTTCACAGATGGACTTATTGCACAGGTGGCAGCCTATCGCGGTATAACGCTTGAATTCACTGAGCTCCTGAGAGCGACCCATTCTTTCACAAATGTAGAAGCAGTCTGCATGCCTAGGGGCTTTATTTTATACACCTGTGGCAATGGAGGTGATTGGAATGCCTGAATCCAATGATTTGGAGGGGTGTCATAATACTTTTGGCAGTATAGTTTATATTATGCATAGCTTCATTTTTTATTATTATAATTTTTTATTTTTAATTATTATTGTTTATTTTATCTATTTTTTCTCATGGATTGATATACACGAGGACTCAACTCAGTATTATTGTTTATATTTTTAGGTAATTTTGTGGTATTAGAATTAGTTTAATTTATTGTTCTGAGTTCCAATGGTGATAATTATTGTGTTCTTGTAGCTCCTTTTATAGTCTTTATAGAGCTTGATCTTGTAGCCCTACATGCTATTTAAGATCGCCATCCTCAAAGCAGTAATCGGCATGACAAAGAGGCAAGGGTGACCTTGAAATGTGTAGCCATGCTTCCTATATGCCCACTGGCATATGACTTCATTGTCCATTTGATTTCATGTTGTTTGAGGCTCCTGTCATTCCTGACCCAGCCAACTGAAATTTTAACTCCTTGCATATCTATTTGATTGCTTGGATGTTGTTCTCCTGCCACCTGCCATAACTGCAATGTAAATTGCCATTTTACTGTTTTTACAGTTAATTGATATATACATTAATAATACACTCAGAGTGCGCCCTCTGGTGCTTTGAGTTGGTTGTATTATCCAATGATTTTTTCAAGTCTCTATGAGGATCTACCCTGAGGCTATGGAAATAATCTAGACTTAACCAATTATGGACTTTATGGACTCCTTATCTGCTTCCTGAGGTATGTGCTAAAGCATACTATACATGCCTTTGCACCTTTTTAGTTTTTTTTTTAGTTTCATCAAGATAGTATTGCTTTCAAATATAGAAGGAATTTTATGACACATATGTCTTAATAACATTAGTGTTTATTTACTACAGTAATACAGCATATTCACTTTCCATAGTCAATTTTCACCTAGCTTTGTGAATAAGATACATAGTCATATACATAAGATACATATATTATCTAGTTATGTGCAAGGAAAATAAATTAAAAAAAAACACATTTTTTTTGTTTTTCATTAACAAAGCATAGCTTTATCTCAATCACTAAGCAAACCCCTTTTCCTGTACAAGTGAACATTCTCTACTCCTTTAGCGAGCCAACTTGATTGAGATCAGAAATCCATGAAGAACCGTGTTCATCAATAGGAACATTGAATTTGTCTGAATTGTATTTCTTAAAAACAGTAATGTTTTTCATTAGTACATCACCTATACATGCATGCACGTTTTCCTTCCACAAAGAGGTAATTGAATAAATAATGTAACCCTTGATGAATACTTTACAATCTTTATAGGTACTTAAATACATTATGTATGTCTTCTTTTTAAATGTGCAGTTTCATGGTTTGTTGTGTTTTATTTTGATTCAGATGAAGGTATATTGGATTTTCATTAGTGAAAAGGATACAACCCTCTTTACTTAACTACTTATACTAATAATCACCTTTATTTATAACTAAGTTCATGAAATAAACACATGAATTATGGAGATCCCTAAAATATGGCAAAGGAACAAACAGAACCTACGGTATTGTGAATAAACTCCACTTAGTCAAGCTAGAAAGACTGGATTGGTTATTGCATGTCTCTGTGGTAGATACAATGTACTTAGAAGATAATTGTAGCAAATGCATGGGGATAGGATGTGTACTCTTGCCTTGCATTTAATATAGACTCTAATAAGGCTAATGACTACAATTTACTAACAAATTCTAATTAGTCAAGCTGGTTACACAATAGTAAATAGTTTATTTTGTGCCTCTGTGCTACAGATAATTTGAACATATTAATACCAAATACATGGTGATAATCATTGTTGGCTTTTATTTGATAAGAAACCTAATGAACTTATTCATGAATATAATACAATATAACAGGAATAACATTTTTTATTGTTCTAAGTACAGTAAGCTAACATGTGACTGCTTGCTGGAGGGTAATGCAGTTTGCATTTTGCTATTGCAATTTGCACTGACTAGGTCTGTAATACTCTTGTTAGCACTTTGCCAGTGAAATATGAATACAGGAAAGTCTCCCACCTAAAAACCAACTACATATTAAAATGTAAATCGAAAAATAAAACAATCACTCCTTTGCTGATTGGTTCTCTCTCTTTCTCTTTTCTCTCTCTCTCTCTCTCTCTCTCTCTCTCTCTCTCTCTCTCTCTCTCTCTCGCTCGCTCTATATATATATATATATAAAACCATTGCTGCAAAAAGCACCTTCTCTTCAAGCATGTCCTCTTGCTCCAAGCTCACCTGTGTTCTCTTTAAAGGGTAACTCGACTTTCATGGGAAAAAATAGTGCATTGAAAAAAAAATATAGTATATACTGTAGAATTGTGGCACAAGATGGTGTATTCTATACACAGATGGTTCTGTACATAGATGGTGTAAAGAACACCCCCCACCCCCAGAATTGTCTTTTCCTGCTTCATTGATTGGCTTACCAATTTTCCCAAAAGTCTGCACTTAAGATACAAATCAGATTTTGGGCATTTCCTGCAACAAAATGTCATTTTTGGTTAGATACTCCCAAAGATAAATCGTTTCTAAAGGGATGCAGACCCTGATACTTTTCTCATTAGAACCCTGACAGTGCAGCAGCTGATTGATAATTATAAAATCACTCCCATATAGGTTCACTCTGCACTTTTTGTTAAAATCCTTGCAATGTGCATAGATCACCTAGAGGGGAATGATTTTTTTTTTCTCAACAAAAGTGGAGTTACTCTCTAATGCCATTCAATAACCTTTCTGTGAACCCATGGGGTGCATCATTTAGCTGCCCCAAGCTCACAGACAAGTTCAGAGCTCATTGCATTACATGGTTGGAGTACAGGACTGCATACTGCCAGAGGAAGAAGAGATGGAAGAGGACCCACATTGTCACATGACCAAAACAAGGATCCATGCTAAAAAAAAGGTATGTATGCACAAAGCAAACATTTTTAAAAAGAAAGTGGAGGGAGGGACAGGAAGCAAGGATTTGGGCTATAAGATGCCATTTAAAGTGATACTAAAGTTTCATTTGTTTTAAAATAGCAAACATCATACTTACCTGCCTCATGCAGTGGTTTTGCACAGAACAACCCTGATCCTCCTCTTTTTGGGTCCCCCCACTGGCGCTCCTGCCCCCCTCACTCCTGCAGGCTGCCCCCGTAGCACTCAGCTTTCTATGGGGGCTCCAGAGCCATGGTTCTGGGTGTCCATTCACACACAGCTGCAGCTCAGTCCTACCCCCTCCCTCTCCTGATTGACTCACTGGCTGTGATTGACAGTGGTGGGAGCATATGGCTCCCGCTGCTGCCTCAGCCAATCAGGAGTGAGAGTCCCCAGAGAACCGAGGCTCTCATGGACATTGCTGGATCAGGATGGGGCTCAGGTAAGTGTTGGGGGGAGCTGCTACACACAGAAGGTTTTTCACCTTCATGCTTATAATGCATGAAGGTAAAAAACCTTGAGCCTTTACAACCACGTTAAGGTTAGATGGGGCACTTCCTCACTTTTCCCACCTGAACCCTGTCAAACATTTTTGTGGAAACAATTGATCAGCCAGGATCAAACTATTGCTTTCACCCAACATAAGCCACTCTTCTGTTGATACTTCATAGTCACAAAATGTTCAGAATTCAGAGATATTAAAAAAATAACTTGCACAGTATTAAGTCATACAGAGTTCACAGTAGCTTTGTTAGCAGGCGTCAGACAGGCTTTTGGGAAACATGTTTAAGGCTTCCCAAATGCCTATGGAAATTCTGCACATGGCAGCACACAATGCTGTTCACACTGAAGTGTTAGCGTTGCGTCGTGGCAAAACTGACACCTCGTGTCCAGTCAGCAGAAGTTGAAGCCTCCCATTCAAGTCTATGGTGCTGCTCCGCAAACGCCTGCCAGGCGTTTGCGGCGTGGTTGCAAAGCGGTTGAGAGGTGGTTGCGGAGCATTAATACCGTATAACTTCATCATGGGCATTTGTGGTGCAGTTTTAACGCTTGGCAAACGCCTAGCAACTGACTCAAAACTGCGCATAGGGCGTTTGGGGAGCATTTGAGGAGCGTTAAAAATGCTTCTCAAATGCCTGTCTAACGCCTGTCAAATGCTATAGGGGCGTTTGGCAAGAGTTAGAAACAAAGTCAAGTATGAATGAGCCCTTAAGTATTCAAATTGTAAATACATAGATTTGTGCACTTATTTATTCTTGCACAGGAGAAAGGTTCACACCTTGATTGTTTTTAGGACTTCTGCATTTTTTGCTCACATTCTTAAAAATCTATAGAGCATTTATTACTGGATGCAATGTATTTATTAAAGGATTATATTTTAACATGACTCAGTGAAGCTGTATTAAAACTAAACTCCAAGCAAAGAGCTAAATACACAAGGACTGTACATATAAGGGAGCTGCTTTACCTGCTAAAGGATTTTTATTTCAGTTAAACCAAACCTGAGATTACAGCTATGCCACCCAGCACAGCCCTGTCTGGCAGACGAGAAAACCTGATTTTTCTCTGCTTTAGTTCAATAACACTTACAAGTCTTCAACCCGCCACCAGCATGTGACTGGAAAAAAAAGAAGAATCAGCAGACAAATGCACGTATCACTCTGTCACTCTGCTCTCGCCTCCTATCAACACGTGTTAACTGATGAGCACTGCAGCACAACTGATTGGCTTAGTGTTCTGCTTCTTCATCCCACAGTTTGCATTCTGCTGTTCAGGACTGCAACATACTAATTATAAGTCAAATTCAGGTACTTAAACTGCTTGCATAAAAAATACATACAAGAATGTGTTAAAAATATAGATCTGTGTTAATTTATGCATTTTATATCTGCCTGTAGAAATATGAGGATTTCACGTAAGCCTGTATGCAAATTGCCCTCATCTGTGTTCACTGCTGTGTTTGGTCTGACAAAGTCCAGCTTTTAATTTGACAGCCACAACCGCAATG